TGCTACCCCCCCCCTCCGACTCCTTACTCGACGACGAGGTCGTCGTCAAGCTGCCCTCGTGGCCTGGGAACCTACCGCGCCGCGGCCTGCCGCGGCCTGCCGCGGCCTCCGCCCGACGCCCCAGCATTTCCTGCAGCACGCGCCGTAGACGACGCCCGCCAGGTCATCGTGGAAGGCGCAGCGCTTGCTGCCGCGCCCGGCCCGGGGCCGGGCTCTGGGCGGGCGGCGGGTGCGCCCCTCGGGCCGGCCCTCGGCGGGTGCCCGGGGGGGCACCTCTCCCGCGGCTGCTCGGCTGCCCGGGCGCCCGGCGGCTGCTCGGCTGCGCTCGGGCGCCGAGGGGGGGTCCGGCTGTGGTCGAGGCTCAAGTCGGGCATGTCCTTCCGCAGGGGGGAGTCTTCAAGAGCAGGCCGAAGCAAGTGGTCTGGGGACGATGCCTGGTCCGTTTTTGCAGATCTTTGGTAGTATTTCCCAACCATCCTGTGGTGTTGGGTCCTCGTTTTGAAGAAACGGTCCCCGCGTTCCTCCTTCTCCTCCTTCTCCTCCTCCTCCTTCTCCTCGCCCTCCTCCCTCCTGCGTTCGCATGCCTCCCCACCACCCATTTCGGCACACCCTCCCCCGTTTCGTGGCCCCATAGGCAGCTCCACCGAAGGCCCCAGTGGCTGCGTTCGCATGCCTCCCCACCACCCATTTCGGCACACCCCTCACACGTTTCGTGGCCCCATAGGGAGCTCCACCGAAGGCCCCAGTGGCTGCGTTCGCATGCCTCCCCACCACCCATTTCGGCACACCCCTCACACGTTTCGTGGCCCCATAGGGAGCTCCACCGAAGGCCCCAGTGGCTGCGTTCGCATGCCTCCCCACCACCCATTTCGGCACACCCCTCACACGTTTCGTGGCCCCATAGGGAGCTCCACCGAAGGCCCCAGTGGCAGGGTCGCATGCATTTCGGCCTCCCCACCCCCCATTTCGGCACACACCCTCACACGTTTCGTGGCCCCATAGGGAGCTCCACCGAAGGCCCCAGTGGCTGCGCCCGCATGCTTCCACCACCCATTTCGGCACACCCCTCACACGTTTCGTGGCCCCATAGGGAGCTCCACCGAAGGCCCCAGTGGCTGCGCCGCACCACCCCCCATTTCGGCACACCCCTCACACGTTTCGTGGCCCCATAGGGAGCTCCACCGAAGGCCCCAGTGGCTGCGTTCGCATGCCTCCCCACCACCCATTTCGGCACACCCCTCACACGTTTCGTGGCCCCATAGGGAGCTCCACCGAAGGCCCCAGTGGCTGCGTTCGCATGCCTCCCCACCACCCATTTCGGCACACCCCTCACACGTTTCGTGGCCCCATAGGGAGCTCCACCGAAGGCCCCAGTGGCTGCGTTCGCATGCCTCCCCACCACCCATTTCGGCACACCCCTCACACGTTTCGTGGCCCCATAGGGAGCTCCACCGAAGGCCCCAGTGGCAGGGTCGCATGCCTCCCCACCACCCATTTCGGCACACCCCTCACACGTTTCGTGGCCCCATAGGGAGCTCCACCGAAGGCCCCAGTGGCTGCGTTCGCATGCCTCCCCACCACCCATTTCGGCACACCCCTCACACGTTTCGTGGCCCCATAGGGAGCTCCACCGAAGGCCCCAGTGGCTGCGTTCGCATGCCTCCCCACCACCCATTTCGGCACACCCCTCACACGTTTCGTGGCCCCATAGGGAGCTCCACCGAAGGCCCCAGTGGCTGCGTTCGCATGCCTCCCCACCACCCATTTCGGCACACCCCTCACACGTTTCGTGGCCCCATAGGGAGCTCCACCGAAGGCCCCAGTGGCAGGGTCCGCATGCCTCCCCACCACCCATTTCGGCACACCCCTCACACGTTTCGTGGCCCCATGGGGAGCTCCACCGAAGGCCCCAGTGGCGCGGTGCCTATGCGAAGAGGGGCCTAGTTTGCGTGCCCCCTCCTTCGTCTCATATCCGTGCGGTACTCGCAGCTGCATATGGTTGGGTCCTTCGCCAGGCTAATTTTTTGGCTGTGCTTAATTTCTCATCCAAACTTCGTGGTGGTATAACTTTGACTATGTTTAGTTCTTCGTCCAGCATCGGCTTGCAGGGGGCCAGGGCCCGGCTTAAGTCGAGGCACGGGGCCGCCGGCCGAGGGGCCGCCCCTCCTCCCAGGGAGGCCGCGGCTCGACGCGCGGCCGGCGCCGTGGGCGCCGTCGGCGCGCCGTCGGCGCTCCGCGGAGAGCTCCGCGGAGCGCTCGGGCCGCCTGGCGCGCGGCAGGCCGACAGGCTGGCGCGGGGCGCGGTGCTCTCGCCGAGCGTGAAGCCGGGCCTGGCCCCCTACAGGCCGAAGGTTGGACGAAGGATTCGACACAGCCAAGAAGAAACCAAAGATATGCAAGAAGGGCCCCCGAAATCGTCCCCGGACTATTTTTGGGCTATTTTTGAACACTCCTCCTGTAGAGGGGCCTGCCCGACTCAAGCCAAGCGGGTCCAGGCAGC